ATTGTACCTTCTGAAAATCTTAAAGGAAAGGTGGGAGCCAGGCCCACATCCCATCCCTGTGAGAGGACTGCACTTGGATCTAACAGGTGTTGCTAGCAGATGCAGAAGGCCTGCTGCAGTTGCATCTCCCACATCTCTGGACTGAAAGCCATTTGTCTTTGCTGCCAGTGTTGTGTCTGTCCTGTAGCCATGCTGCATCAGTTCTGGGATCCAGTCCTTCAGAGCACACAGGTGACTGGGAGGTGTCTTGGTATTCCTTGGCTTTGAATAGGGGCTTCCCTCTAAGTAGTGCTCAGTGTTTGAAGGCAGGTGTGTATTCTACCCCAAAAGCAGTGTGTGGACACCAAACCTTACCTCCCTGTGGCTTCCTGCCCTTGGATATGTTGTGCTAGTCCTGGAGTGATGCTGAGGCAGATACATTTGAAAAGTCAATGTGCACCTGGGAATTCGCTGCAGGACACGACCTAGTTGTCCTGGCTGTTGGTTGCAGGTGGCACTTTTCACATCATCTGCAGCCATGACATAAAGCTGTTTAGCTTCAGTCTTTTTTTTGTCTGTTTTCTGTCCTGACAAGCAACTTTTTTGCCCTCCCTCCTGATTGATGCATCTTTCCAGAGAAATTTTCATCATCTCAGGGAATAGTCAAAGGAGATAGGAGGGGTCTTAAAGTTACCGGGAAAGGCTAAGACATGCCATCATTACATCTTTTACTTGCTCAGGCTCTTTATTAATCTGTTTTGCAGATAGTCCTGGTGCCCTACAGTATGCCTCTGAGGGGACAAAATACCTGGAAGGTGAGGAAGGTTCTCGGTTTTAAGGCCATGTTGCATCATGAGTACGAGGCAGCCCAAGTGTGGGTTGCTGCCAAAGACAGATTGGTTTCCAGGCAGTTGTCTGTCTCTCTTGCTGCAGGACTGCCTTGATTAAAGCTGCTTAAGCTGATTGTGAAACTGCAGCCTAGGAGTCTAGTTGTGTTAGAAGCCTAAGACATCTCTGGATAATGTCTGGAAAATGTTAAGAGGAGTCTTAATGTTTCTGGACAGTTTTTGATGGGACTCCGTAGGGCCACTCTGGTAAGGTTTCATCAGGAAGATGCTGAATGTTCATTTTCTGTCAGCTCTAGCAAAACCAGCTTTCCTAAGATGTTTTACTGTAATGAAACTTACAAAGCATGTTTTCAGGTGTTTTTGAGAGATGCACAGAATTACCTGTGCTTTTTTCTTAACAGAGGAGGACTTTGTTCTGTTTTGCTGCTTTGAGTTAGTAGGTGATTGCTCGTTCATCTGTTTGCTTTATCCCCTTGAGATGTGGTTGTGGCAGTACCTAGAGGCTGAAATCAGGATTAGGAGCCAATTTGCTGTGGTTGTACGAACGGATGCGTAAAATACAGCAGCGCTCGTAAGGCTACATGAACCCATGTACTGTTTGGATGAGACCTGCTTCCAGACAGGCTGGTTGTGGCGCAGCCCCAAATTCAGAGGTGGCAGGTCATCTTCATGCCGTTGTGTATGCGGGCTGTGTGAGGTGGTTTAGCGAGCCATCCTGATGATAACCGAAGTGAATAGTCTCCTCTTCCTCCTCCCTTGGAGGGCTCTGCCACTCTTGCCCTCTTGCTGGGGCAAAACCTCAGCGATTCCTGCTTTGACCCAGCAAGTGCTGAGGTTCTGCTCCGGTGCTGGGAGGCAGCTCACGGGGCCATGGAGAGAGGAGGCGAAGATTAGGGTTTTTCTTAATGAGTTTTTGTGGCTGTGTTTGAGGTGTTTAATCAGAGGAGTCTCAAAATTAATGACAGGCTTGTTTTCCAAAGCTTCGCTGCACGTGTGTTTAGGTCAAGTAAACAGTGCTAAATAAGCTGTGCCATCACTCTGGGCACTAATAAGCCTCCTGACTGATAGCAGAAGAATACAAATAAATAGTGCCTTTGACTGTTTCATTGATAGACTGTGGGGCTTTTGAACAAGCAATTACATCTCAAAATGTACTTCTCTGGGAGCTGAAACATGAAGTGATGTTATTTAAAAAAAAAAGCCACCAAACTGCCCCCTGCCCCCCCAAACCCCACCCCAAAACAACAAAACCAAACAACCTGTAGGAGGTCCCAGAGGCCAATGATTGACTTCAGCTTTTATTAATTCATCTGCAGTGCATTTGCTGGAGCTTTTAGGGTTTAATTGAGGTTAAGAGGTTGGAATCTGTGGTAAACAAAAGAATGGCATATGGGCAGTCTGAAATTGTGTATGTTTAAGTAAGAGCATTCCTTCTGGCCACTTGTTTTCATTGGGCAGTTACTCTAGGCTCACAACTTTTCTTTTTTAAAAAAAAAAAAAGTCTAAACATGCAATGCTAGCAAGTTAATGATTCATTATGTTTTATCACATCCTAACATACCTCTAGAGAAGAGAAGGCTGAGATGGGCTTGTGTTTGACCTCCCCCTTCAGATTAAGGACGTTGCTTCTTTAATCTCTTACCTGCTGTGGCAGAGTCCACAAGCTCGTTTGTTTTAAAATGTAAGAAGAAAAATACCTTCTCCCTGTCCTTTATCACTTCCTTGCTCCTGGGGTCCGCAGTTGTTCTCTTCGAAATTCAAATGGAAAAAGCAGGTGTGAGACCAGAGGAAAAGCTTTCCCCATAGCCTCTATAAAACAAAACTGGAAGTGGGATTCAGTTTCTTCAGTTACCCACAGAAAATTGTGCGCACATGTTTTTCACGGTTGCTTTTTTGTCTTATTTTCGGTTCTGTTATGAGGTGTGTGAATGTCTTCGCTGAACGTGATCTCCTCTTGCGAGTGGGAATGCATACCAGCAAGGGCAGCGGTTTGACAATTAAGACAAACCTCCTTATGTTGGAAAGCCTTAGCTCATACTCCAAGGTCTTTATGCTGTTGATAAAGTTTATGGAGCATATGACATCAGCTGGCAATAATAACGGTGACCTGTTGCCCTCGAGTCATTCTGTAGACATCTGTAATTTATATATAGCTGTTAGCAGTGTGTAGCCTGAAGCCTAAGACGGCTCATCAGTATAATTATATTGATAAGAGAGGATAAATCAGAGGATAAATCTTAATATTTCATTTAATAGAAGCTTTCACATGTCCCAGGAAGTCAAATGTGTCTTTCCTGCTTGCTTATAATTTAGAGCAATCTTCTTTTTAAAACTTCTAGTTCTTGTTTAATTAAATTCTGATTTAAAAAAAAATAATAGCCTTTAATAACCCCCTCTTTTCATTAATACAATAAATGCAATTTTTTGTACTTCTGTCTCATAAGAGATGCTCTAGATAAAGAACTTCTATCAAAAAATGCTTTATTAAGAAGCATTGTATATGCTGGCTCAGGGAAGGAGCTGCATGGAACAGCTTTTTTGCTTGCAAAAGGACACTTTTTCTTTTTCTTGTATTTGATTTAAAATAAAAAAAACTATAATGTTTGAGCATGGAATTGGAGAGGGGTAAATCCAGGTTCTTTTTACTGTACTGTACTTTGTCTTCCCGTGGTGGTTTGCTTTTTCCATCTCCCACACAGGAGTTTGATTCCGCCATGTTTTTCCCCTGAAACAGGACAAACGTGATTTTAAATACCAAATGCTTTTAAAACTTACATGTAATGCACACATGCACATGTACATATATGTATGTATGTTGTGTGTTAGCATAACATGACCTGTTTCCTTGCTGCTTATGATCCCTCCTCCTTGAGTCTATTTTGGAGAGTGAAGGGAAAGCCCTCACATCCCTTTGGAGCCTGTCCCCCACAGGCAGCCTGTGCCGTGGGCGATGGGAGAGGGCAGCGCTGCGGGAGCCCGTGCGTTTGGCTGCCCTTGCTGGGGTACGTCCCCATGCCCGGGGGCACAGGGGGCTTTTTGTGCAGGCATCAGCCGGCAGCACCTCTGTTGCTGTGCTGGTGATGGGTGTCTGGGTGTTGCTGGCCAAAGGGAGTTGTGCTGGGGTGACTTCAGGGCAGCCAGGGTTTGCTGGCCCACATCAGATCTTGTGCGGGGATGGAGCGGACCCCGTAACTGGTTGGTGTCCTGCCGATTCAGGTCTCTGTTGGCATTCATCCCTATCCCTTGAGGAGCCTCTCCCCTTCCTTCCGGATTCGTCAGGAGCCATGGGATGCTTCCTTGCCCTGGGGAGTGTTGGAGCAGAGGGCTGTAAATAAAATGTCACAAATTGCTGAGCAAACTGTGTCTAACGTAGCTATAACATGATGTTGGCTACTGTGCTTTTGGGCATAAATTGAATTTCTGTCTCTTATATCTATTATTATCATAACTTCAGTTTTGAGATGCTTGTGCAGCTTGGGCTCAGCCTTTGCGGGGAGGCTGGCAGTGCTTGCCTCGCAAAAAGTACAAAAAAGCAGCTCGGCCTTGCAAGTTTATGTGTTTCCACCTCCTCCTTTGAGTTGAGGTGTAGAGGATTTGGGTTCAGCAGTGAGGTGTATAGGATTTGGGTGCAGCAGTGCCCCAGGGACTAGGAGCAGGGAGAGGGGGAAGGCAGCTCAGAAGTCATCCGCTGCACTGACACGTGCCTGCTGACGGCTTATTGCAACCCCCGCTTCAGGCAGGAGCAAGGTACCCGGTTGAAGGACGGGGCACTCTCCCCTCCCTCTCATGCATTTTTGGGAAGCGGTCCGTGGTGTCATCTGCCATTATCATTTACATGCGTCTTGAAACCTCGAGTCTGGTTTGTTATTCTGAGGCAACCCGATTGCTTTATGGCACTCTCCTGGGACTTACGGGCTATTTAAAGGTTGACTCTGCCCTGTTTGTGCTGCGATGCTGGTGGAAACGTTGACTGTGGTGCCGTAAAATGGATGAGTTTGGGGTTTTTTTAAACAGCAAGCAGGAAAACATCCTGTCAAACACATGCTGAGGGCTGCTGCCAGCGCCGGCAGGAGCATGGCACTGATGCTCTCACCTTCTCGGCAGGTACGTGGGGTGAAGGAGGCCTGACGCCCGCCCGGAGAGGAGACCCTGGCCCCTACGGAGCTGCCCACCATGAGCAGGGCGCTGCTGGTCGGCAGGATGCAGCCAGAGAGCCGGAGCGTCTGCGTCTTCCTGCCCACCCGGGAGCAGCTCAGCATAGCCGTCGGGGTGAGTGGCTGGGAGGTTGGGGCACCGCAGCAGTGGTTCAGTTTTGTTAGCACCCTTTGTTGTCCCAAAAGCCTGGTGTGGGTCTGCTGACCGAAAGGCTATTAGCCAGCTTAGGGTAATTGGTGTTCCATTTCCTAATTTGGCAGCTTCAACTCATTTTCAGAGTTCCTTAAAAGTCCTGGTTGTGTTTTTGGATGGTGGGGTGCCCTCTGTTCTTTTTCTGTTGTTATTCCTTTTTTTTTAATTCTTTCTCAGTTTTTTTGCCACTACTAATAATCTAGCAATTTTTTATAAAATTGAACCTGAAATGCCTTGATGACTTAGCAGGCGTGCCCAACACATGACCATTTCTTTAGCGTTTTAGCTGTTTCTGGTTTTGATAGTCTGCAGATCTATTCAAAGAGTCTAAGGCAGAGTAAACAACCATTGAGGGGTTTTCTCCCTCCTTTGAGTACTTGTACACAAAAAAACTAGAGGTAAGTCACTTAATTTCTTTGATCACTGCTTCTAAATGCCTAAGTGTGTGTGCACAAGTGACAGCAGAGCCAGGTCAGCTGGCAGCCCAGTGTGGCACGGTGTCCATCACGGCGCGGTGCCTCTTTGTGCAGCGCCGGCTGCTCCTTGAACTTGTGAGAAACTGAGCTGACAGAGGCACTTCACGTTCAGATGACAAGCTACCCTCAAAGTTAAGTGCTCTCTTGCGAGCGTGTGTGTGCACTCATGTGTGGGCTGGGGAGGTTTTGCTTTGTTTTGGGTGGGGTTTTTTTCCCCCTCTGGGATGGGGAGAGGGAGAAGACAGTTGACGTGAACTGTTATTTTAAGCACTTGATTGAAATGGTGGCTTTTGAAAGTATGCATGCTATTCTTCAAAATCCATGTAGGAATTTTCCTACCTGCTGTGCTTAAGCGTGGCATCGTTAACTGAAACAGCCACAAGGGCTGGACGGAACAAGGCTTTAACAGCAAAACCTGGGGCGCGCTGCTTCTAGGTTACCAGTTCAAACCCAGCCCATCTACCACCCCAGAAAGCTTTTGCAATCTGCTGGCTCTTGTGCAAGCCACAAAACAATGATTTAATTAAGTTCTTGGTGACAGGTGCGTGGGCCTAGCTAATGGTCTGTTGTGGCTGACACTAAATCTCACCTTCTTACAGCTTTTATCAGGGAGGCTGAAGATCTGAGATAGCAGAGCGTGCCCTGCTGCGGGGAAGGTGCACACTGGTGTGCAGGAGGGCTGTGTGCCGGCAGGGCTGATGCTGGCACCGCTTCTCGCTGCGCCTGTGCCTGAGCTGGGCACACGGCTGTTCCTCTTTCCACTGGGTCATGCTCCACCATATTAAGTTTAGGCAGTGCTTAGACCATACAGTAAATCCTGGATACCTGCAGTTTATCATAAAATCATAGAATCATTTAGGTTGATCCTTAAGATCATTGAGTCCAACCATAAGCCTAACACTACGAAGTCCACCACTAAACCATGTCCCTAAGTGCCACATCTACATGTCTTTAAGATACCTCCAGGGTATTTAATAAGCATAAGAAATGGTCTTTCGCATTGAGAGCTGGCAGGGACAGAGGGAAGGTGCTGTGTCCCCCTCACTGTTTCTGCCTGCTGCCCCTCCAAAGAGTTGGGGTGCCTTGAGCATTGCCGCCTTGTCCCACGGAGGGGTCCCTGCCACAGCACCCCTCAGTAGCCCTTTTAAAGACATTTTCCCTCCTTGCTTCTGCTGCCTCTTGCTTTGGTGGCTGGGAAGTTGGGAAAATATGTACATGGAGATGCCTGTGTGTGAAAGGGAATAGCAGCCTGGGCCAAAACATGAGACCTCAATGCACAGTTGTGTCCTAATTACATAAAGAGTGAAACATGACCTGTTACAGCTGGGCAAGTCACCAAAACCAGCTTTTCGTTTGGCTTCTCTCTTTACCACAACACCCCTTCAAAACAACAACAAAATTAAGATTTCACAGCTGGATGGAGAAATTTTTTTTTTAAAGGAATATCAAGCCAATTTTCTAGTGATGTTGGTAGAACCCAAATTTAATTAGCACAACCACGGATGATACTTTGTGCATTTATTAGAATAATTATGCCACTACTTAAGATTTCCAAAGCCTTTTAACCTCTTCAGTGTGGAATGCAAATACTAAACAAGCTTGCAGCTCAGTGAGGTAGGTAGGAATAGTTATCCTTTCAGCAGAATAAATTATAGATCCTTCCCGTGATAATCACAGTGTTTATGCAGGTAATTCCTTTCTCCCCCCTGCCATGTAAATTCCACCCTTCCAGATAAGAGTTCACCTATATGTGATTTACGTGGTCACATGTAGATTGAAGCTTGCTCTTTAAAATGGATTTGTCTTATGCCCTTCACAGATAGTGCTATTGAAGAGAGAAGAGCAGGAGCCATTTTATAGTCTCTTCCCTCATAATTGGGTATCTCTTAATTAACTTTGGTGTCCACCTTTCTGGATGTATAGATGAATTTGAGAGGGTGGTGATGAGGAAGACCCTCTTCCTGGGACCAACTGTGAACATGAGGAGAAGCAGAGCAGTGAGGAGAATGAGTGGGTGCTGCAGCTCACCAGCTGTCCCGAGGACAGCGAGGCGAAGTGGGAGGTTTCTGCTGGGGAGAACAGACATCAGACCGCAGATTAAAGCAGTTTGCCTTGCTCCAGGCAGCCCCAGTGGGGAGATAGAGTGTGAGTACCAGGGAGTATCAGTTGCACCAAAGATCTTGGAGCAGTATCCAGGTTGTTCAGTTTTGTTTATCTGCCAGCATTGTAGCTTATCTCCCTGATAGTTTTGAACCTGTTGATCAATATTGACTAGTTTTTATGAGTAGGTTTCTGAAAATTTTCTGGGGTGGTAGCAGCTGAATAAAGGAGAGAGACCTATGCTAGCAAACGTCTGGCTGCCAACGAGGGGAGCAGGGCAGGCAGCCACCCTACATGTGTTTGGGTAGTTCAGAAGCAGCCACAGCTAATGTTGCTCCTTGCCTAGCTGCTGGAGAAAGGGTGGGAGCGTGAGCAGAAATTTTTGGAGGGGAGGAAGTCTGGTGAGATCCTGTGTGTTGGTGAATGGCAAGCATAGGTCTGAAGTCTTCTAGTTGTTCTGTGAGCAGGAGAGCTGATGTTTTAAAGCATATGGACCAAGAAAAATGGAGATAGGTAACCAACACCTGTGAATATTTGCACACAGAATGACCCTGGAGCAGCAGTTACCTTCTGTAAACTTGCACTCGACTTCAATTTGGACTAAATTTCATGTGTAAAGAAGCCCTGAGTCTGACATGGGGGAAAAGCTGAGTATCAGGGGAAGGAATGATTCATGGCATGTCTGGAGTGGAGCTTGGCACAGGCACCATATGCACAGGGAGGAAAGGCCAAAGAGAAGTGCACAGATGAAAAATGCAAAGGGAAATGTTTGTTGCTTTGAGCAGAGGAGAAGGCAGGAGGAGGGAACAGCGATTGCAAGTGTAATCAGTATTGCATAGCCTTGAAGGCTGGGAGTAAAACTTGGTACAGAAGCGAATTGCCAAAAGGAGAATGGACAAGGTGGTAGCTCACATACCTGTTGTGCAAGAAATCTGAATAAATCACTGCTTTAGAGCTGAGTGTCACAAAATGTTGAAGTGCTCAGTTCCCTAGAACTAAGTATCTTAAAGCAGGTTTTTCTTCCCTTAGGTGTGAAAGCATGCTACTTACAAAATTCATCTAATCGTATAGCTTTTACATAGAGTCCTGCGCTGCCAGTGACTCTTGTATGCACATAACCATTCTGGCTAGGGGCAGGTCACCTCTTCCTTAGTGAGTCCTTCCCAGGTAGGAGAACATGCTCAGAGCTTGCTTTCAGGAGAAAGGAGGCAGATCTGCGCCCAATTTTCCCTTCCAACTGCGTGTTCTTGGCAGCTGAGCAAATACTGCATTTAGGTGTGAGACTGTAAGGGTACAGTCTCACATGGAGACCCATAAGAAGCCCCCGATGTGGTTTTGGGTCTTATCAGAACTGTGCACTACCTCCTCCCCTCCCAAAGCATGTATATGCACGTGCATGTATGTATTGATGCAGTGCAGGTTTCAAACCTCCCAATAAAGTGGTAGTGAGTGGCTGGCTAGTGATGCCTTGTCAAGTAGAAGAAAAATAGTACTTAAATGACCTCCAGTTTCCCATTGTCCATGTCTAGTGACATGGTACATCCTGGGGCAGGGAGGGGAGCGCAGCCGGCTTCTGGGGAGTGTGGCACACCTGCACTAAAAGGGTTTGAAGAATTATGGTGACAATTAGTTTGATGGCAGTGAACAGTGTGTAGGAGAGTTCAGTAGTTGACTTCTGCCCCATCATCTTTGCTGCTGTGAAGGCAGCATTGCACTGTCTCCCCTCGGGAAGGCTGCTCCTGCTGCTACTAATCTGCATTGTCCAGCAGTGGTGTAACGAAATTCAGAGGTTCTGGCCCATTTTGCAGCTGCAGCTGGTAGCACCCAGGGCTGAGCTGAGCTTGTCTGTGTTGGTGGTGTTCTGCTCTCCACACCTGCTCGTGCGCAAAACTCCTTCCCGTATGCCACTGGGAGCTTGGGGAGTTTCGTTTGTGCCTGTGGTTGTCTGTCTGTGCTCCTGGGGTGGTGCGATGGGACAGGGGGAAATGAGGCTATAGGTGGGAGGACATTTAGTGGGGGAATTCTCCGATCACAGTCTGCACATGCAGGTAGCCACGATCACGCTCTTGCTGGAGGAGCCTGTGCTCCGAGCAGCCCTGCTAGAACAGTGCATTCAGTAGCTGTGCCACAGGGCCATGGCGCTCTCTTGCCCTGTGCCGTGCTTGCAAATACTACCCAGCTGCTGGTCCCCTGCGGGAGCGTATGCTGGCAGCTCTGCTTTCCCAGTGCTTCCTCCGTACATGCACAGCATCATGGTGGGCAAGGGTACTGGAAGGTCTCAGTGTGGCATGGAAATGAGCAAGAGCTTATAGGCCATCGGTGACAGCTCCAGAAGATGAAGATGTTAATTGCTGTGTGACCAGGAGTCAGCAGGGGACAGAAAAAGCTCTTCTGTGTGGGGTACAGAGCAACCTCTTCTCTAACCCACGAGTTATTTCTGCTCAAACAATGCGCTCTTGGGTTTGTCTGTGTACTTTTGTTTTAGTCCTCCTGAATGAAATTTTTCTTTTTTTTTTTTTCCGCTTAACCACTCAAAAAAAATTCTGCAAGAGAGTAGTATTTTCATTTCTGTGATTACAAACATGCTTTCTGTAAGAGCGCCTATAAATAGCCTGGCAGGTACTGCACAAAATCAGGGCTCCAGCAGTGCTCCAAGTTCTTACGCAAAGATGCCAATAGACAGGAAACTTTAAATTCGTGTCTTACTGAGCTGAGCCACTTTGCACTGTGAAGGAGGGGGAATGACATGTTGATTATTATTCTGTGATGATAGCAATAATAATACTGAAAAAAAAGCTTGTTCTGTGGGTTTTTTCCTGCTGTGGTACCCAAAAATGTATTGGCCAATGTAAAGAAGGAGAATTGCTCCATCCAGGTGCATGAGTCATCTGTAACGTTGGATTGGTTGTTTCTTTCAGGTCAAAGCCACTGGACAGGAGCTCTTTCAGCAAGTTTGTGATTTAGTGAAGATTAAAGAGCCTCACTTCTTTGGCCTCAGCATTGTTAAAAGTAAGCAAACTCAATGCATGGAGCAAATGACTTGGCAAACATCCACAGACCTGCTTGTGTATTTACAGTGTGTGCATATATACACAGCGGCCGTGCCTGCAGGGAATTTGATTGTAATAAGGTCACAAAGTATGTAGATTATGCACAGGCTTCTCGGAGCTCTTTTGATCTTTGGTATGTGGGCAGACAAATTGGGAGAAGGGGGGGCTTTTGTTCTCCTCCTTTGTTCTTACGTTCCACCTCTTTGTGGGGTTTTCTTTCTCTCCTGTAGCTGAGTTGCTAGCCAACATATTTGTCACTGAATTCAAAACTGTCAGTAGTTGAACAGGAGGTGAATATTAAAAGGACTTTGGGGATGAAAGTGTTACTTATCTTCTGAAGCCACACGCAAAGAATGTGGTACCAGGGGGAGGAAACTCAAATGGTTTGATGAGGGTACTGAATGCATGTGTGGGGGACATTGGGTTTTGAAATATCGCATGGGAAATACAAAACTTCCTAGACCCGTGGGTTGCAGTCCAGTCTGCTTGGTCCTATGGCTTAGTATTGACCAGGGAACAGTGTAAGATGATGCATTAAAGGAGCAAACTGATACGAGATATTACATTTCTAGGATGGTGTGTGCATTGGCACCCCCCCTGACTCTTAGTAATTAGAAATGCATCTGTTGTCCTCCTTATCCTGCCTTCCCACATCTCCAAAAGCATGGAAAGGACTTTTCTTTCCTCCAAAACTTTTCTCAAGTGTGTTATTTGCTACTGCAACTCTAGATATTGTTTCACTGAAATGAGAATAGTCTTTTATGAGTCCTTCTAAACAAGGCTTCTTTTGCCTCCTAATGAGTATGTGGGATAAAATAATTTTTTTTAAGTTTACTTGTCTAATTTCCTTTCTGCTCTCATTCTCTAAGAATTTTTGCCTTTTTTTTTTTGAGCACGGCACTGAAACGAAGACTGGTGTAAGCTGTTTATCTCCGTAAGGTTTGTAGAGTCTCCAAGAAATTCCATCAATGTAACTAAACCGGAAGCTAACAAATATATCTGTGTGTTTAAACCAGCACAGGGATTTTTTTTGTGTGAGGAAGACCTTGAATACTCTTAACTTTTTTCACAAATCAACTGTGTTCCTGTGAGTCCCCCTCTCTGCCACCTGCTTATAACACCAGTTTTTGCCTGTTCCACTTGCAGGATGTCTTGGGTGAAACTTGAGCTCCTGTCCTCCCCTGTAAGACAGGGCAATTTCATTCCCATTTTCTTTGAATTAGGTGCTCTACTCCTGCTCTCCTCGTGTTTCTTTCACTTTTTTCCCCTTTCATATCTTTCTTGTTTCATATTTTCTGTACCCTGCTTTTTCCCTCCCTCCTACCTTTTGCGTGGAGCAGTTTCCTTCACCTGGTCAAGCATGGGGTCTCTGGCCCCAGAATACCCTATTGTGGCAGATGCCTTTCAGCCTGTTGGAAATGCAGTATAACTACCCCAACCCAAACAGCATAATAAAGCTGTGCTGGCTAGATCTTAAAGTATATTGCCCGTAGCTTTAAACATAATCTTCTCGCTTCACAAAAGTGTTCTTCCTTTTCAGAGCAGCTGATTCTTTGCAAAGCTCTTAGAAAAATGTCAAGGAAAAGAGTTGCAGGAGCCCAGTAGCCTGAATTAACCTCTCTTGTGTTTTGTTTTCCTGACTATTCCTCACTCTTGCTCACTGTAGCTCAGTTTGTAAAGCTGCTTAATTGAAGGCTCCTCGTGCTCACCCTGGCTCCTCCTGACAGCCATGTCCCTTCTCCACCTAGGCAAGTGTCAGGATTTTGGATGAGGAGGAGATTTGTTTTTGTTTGTGCCTCTGTTTAAGAAACTGTTGGGGCCAGACAACAGAAAAGTGACAGTAGTGAGTTTCTCAGCCTGAGTGGCCACGGCCACCAGGAAGGCTGCAGCCCGCCCTCCAGAGAAGGAGCAAACCCGGTCTCTTTGTTACTGCTTCCTCTGGTCCCTGCCTTTGGTCTGTGAAAGTCCAATAAGCTGCTGACTGGAGTCTTGGGTGGGTTTTAGTGTTTTCTTTATTTTGTTTTTAAAATAGCTCCAGGTTTATTACTGTAGAGCTGTAGCAAAGGAATTCTGTTGGTTTTCTGTTCCCCAACTTGATTTCCTGCCCCCCTGTTTTGGCCAACAGACTGGTGATCATACTCCCTGCTGCCAGTCGTAAGTGAGGCCTTGCTTCTATTGCAAACGTAGCACTCTCCATCTCCAGGATTTGAAAGCAGCCTTTAAGGCATTGCCTGCTTTTCAGGGATTTTTGGTTTCATGGCAAGCTATCATCTCAAGAAAGGGAAGCAGCCTGGTCAGGTTGTGGGGAGGCCTGGGTAAGTTTTGCATTGCCCAGGGTTGTCTTGTGGGTACTTAAGTCAACTGCCTTGGCCAGGCAGCAAGTTGGTATAGGTTCTGTAGAGGCTGCAAAGGGAAGGCATGGGGCTGGTCTGTGAGGCAAGAGTGGGTTAGATGTCTGAAAACTTGGAGAGGAAGCTTCTGCATTTCAAAGTATTCCTCTTCTGCATCATGCTTTCACCTCTGTGCTTTTTAAGAAACTGCCCTGTTTTAATAAGGGTATATTTCCTGGTTTCTTAATGTGTGTTTCTTTTTGTCAGTCTGATGCTGCCACATGCAAAACAAGGTATTCTAATCCACCTGTGTCCATTACCTTCCTACTAATTTGTCAACAAAACCCTGACTGTCAGCAGTGGCAAGAGAGAAAATTAAAGGATTTCTACAGAACTGTAACCAATCACACTGGGTGGATTATCTGGATTAGGAGCCCATTTGACCTGCAGACATTGTACAGATAGACTAATGCTCAGTTGGTCTCATAGTAAGTATGTGTGTGAGGGGGAGAGCTTGGGGTGCTTAATCATAAACAGAAGTTTAACCCCTAAGTGTAGCAAAAATGAAAACGGCACCACAAAGCACCATGCAAACTGCAAACCATGAATGCTGTGAGATCTTGGAGCGTGTCTTCCAGCATTCGTTGCCTAAATTTGTTGCCTTTGCCTCTGGCTGTTACAGATGCTGAGGGCAAGCTTCAGGATTTAAGATAACAGTAATGGTGGCAGAACAGAATTTTTCACCCTTTCTGCTCTTGAGATTTTTTTTATTCTCAAGAGGAAAACCTCTTCAACCAACTGTATTTGGGGGAAAAAAAGCCTTGCATTTATAAGAAGTCATCACTTTGAAAATTGAGTTCAGGAGTGTATATTAATGGGAGGCCACACTGGTACAAAGCTTGGAACATGTTGCTCTGCTAGTTTTGTCACAGATCATCAAGCAGGCTATACCTTGTGTGCTGCTGCTGCTGAAGTGCATTTTTTCCTTGTAGTTTGCTCAGTGAAAGACCCTGTAACCCTGCCAGCTTCAAGCTGGCTCTATAGGCTTCAGCAGCTGGGTCTTACATTGCAGCTCCTCCTGCAGGGTCAACCTTATCTAGTGCCCTGCGGCAGGTTTCCCTCTTGTTATCAGAAAGAGTATGCAGCAACACAATTCAGTCTTCTAAAACAAAACTGATTGTCAGCAGACAAAGAACAGCCAGGCCTCCTTTGTTGTTATAACCCAGAGCCCTTCAATCCTGAATCTCAGGCTTCTCCTTTCTAGGAGCAAACCTTGCTTGACCCAAGCAGATGGAAGCCTTTGATTGGGAAGGAGCAAGGCTGCAGCTTCCACACCCTGTCGCTGTCTCTCTGTGTCCTCTTACCAGTTTGTCAGGCTGGCTTTCTAACAAAACCAAATCCTTTTGCTTCAGCTCTCCTGCCTCAAGGATCATCCTTCAGTTATTACAGCTATGGCTGCTTACCTGGCCAGACCCATGCCTCCCAGCGCACGCTTAACAAGGAGCTTGGTGGTTAACTCTGCCAAGATCACTCTGTCTCCAGTTAGCTCTTCTGCATCTGTGTGTCTTTCGGTACGGAAGTTCATGAACGGAATACGCTACCATGTTATCTTTGTAATGTAGGTATCTATTATAACAAAGGGTCTTTTAAGAAGAGAGATGACAAGTTCTCCAAAATACCCTCCAATGATTTCTACTGCCCAGTCCTTCCCTACTATCCCTGCTTCTGCCTCTCCTCCCTTATATCTGCTTGGATAGTTGCATCTCCCTTATGAATTTCTTCTGTATTTTAACCTAAGATACAGCTCTATTATAATGACTTTGATACCTCAAATGAGTTAAATGCAGTGTAAGAAAAACATGTGCAGAAATGTGCCACCTAAAGGGAATTGCAGGGGGTTCAGGTGTTCAAAAAGCATATAATACTCCGGAAGTACTTGCATGGTCTCTTCCTAGGAAGGCTTTTTTTTTTGACTGTACCTGCTGTCAGTTGGTTCTCCTTCAGCATCAGTACAACATCCAGCCAAATGCTCTCTGGCCTGAGAATTGCAAGGGGTTTGTTTGCTCCTGGAAGAGCAGTGCTGGAAATGGTTCTGCAGCTCTTGTGCAGAAGAATCCCTTGTGACACTGCCAAAAGTCGGAAGATCTTTGCCTGGGCTTGCCTTGTTGCTAACTGTAAGATGCCAACATAAAATTCCTGCAGTATCTATCCATCATCAGGAATGACTGAGCCTTTATCTGAGTCTTCAGACCTCAAAAATTCCTAACAGCCACACAACTTTGGGCTTCTTGATGTTCCCTCCTTTCATGCTTCCCTCCATATATCTTCTCTCCATCCCAGGTAAAGCGACCTCAGCCAGGACCTCCCTTGCTTTACTCCCAGCCTCTGTTGTGGTTCTTTCCTTCTTCCCTTGGGATACGTGTACTTGCCAGCTAAAGCTAAAAACACAAGGTTATCTTGAACCAAGTTATTCTAGACCCCTTAGTAAACTAATCAACCAGGTACCGAAAAGTGGATGAGAGTGCTTTCTGTTGGCTTGAAAGGTAACACCAGGAGCATCGAGAAGTTATGTAGAGGTGGTGGGAACAGATGCCATGTGGATAATGATGTTCCCAGGCCACCAGCACTTGGAAGCTTGGAGAGGTCCACATGCCAAAAGAGTGTGTAGCTGGCTTTTCTTCAATAAACGAAAAAAAAAAAAAAAATCCATGCTGGTATTCAGGGAAGCTAAACAGGTTATGAGGTCTACAGCAGGGGTTGCAAGGTATTTTTGAGCACTGGGGTTTTTTTAAGCTTTAGCTCTCCCCTGACCCCAGCGTCCCTCTGTTCTGCTCCTGGTCTCTTTCCTGTTGCCTCTCAAGGGAAATAGTGGTGTTGCCACGAGGCTTCTTGCAGCATCTGGGAGAAGTTAAGTGCTATAGCCAAGGATAATTTTTTCCCTTCTCTTTAAGGCAGAAAATGCTTGCTATGTGCTATGTGGAAGTTTGGCTTTGCGCTAACTTATATTTTATTTGAATCCTAATCTTCTGGACTGTCGAAATAGTTATAATATTAAAATATACTTGACTCAACCAAAGGAGTTAATGGGATGTTCCTGGCTGCTAGCAGGGCCTGGGCTCTGCCTCTTGGTAGGACAGGACTTACCGCTGTGGAATTTCTCAGTGCTCCTAGCCCAAAATGGACCCAGGAGGAGAACGGGTTATTGGCATTCACCATTACTTACTTTTTCTGCAGGGAACTTACCTTTCATAAAAAATAAAATGGGGAGGCACTGCTTAATGCAAAATAATGGCTTTTAGAGTAACAGTGACTCAGAACTGATTTGACCCTGTATTACAGCCATAATCTTCTGTTCCCCTTTTTCCTGCAGTGTAAATACGGTCAGTTGTAAATCTGCATCACTCACTGGAACTGTGTGACTTTTTTCTGACTGGAGACCTGGCCCATTATTTTTTTGTGACAATGCCTGTCCTGTATTTGCTTAAATATGTAAATATGCTAAGCTAATTTTGCAGAGCAGGAGCACTTGAATGTTTGCATTTCTGGCGACTGCTTAATTTGGTATCTGTACACACATATACAAGGGAACCTTTTAAGAGGAGCTGATATATTTTTAAGCTTACTGACAGTGGTGAGACAAGATTCATGAACACAGTGCTCAGTATGTGCAGGTAGACAGGTGCATGTTTGTGTGTGTGTGTGCTTCTAAGCCAGCTTCTTAGTACCTTTCAGTTTTTGTACTTCAGCTGAGGCCAGTGAAGCAATAACAGTTTATACCTGCTGAGTATCTGGCCCTGTTTGGACCCACAGATCCCCAGATCAGACACGTTCATCCCTAGAAAGGCAGCCATCTGTGCATTTCTATACTGTCCTTTACAGCACTGCTCTGAGGTGCTGCAGCTTGGTGCCTTCATATCTGTTAGAGATGCTTGTTTTCAAAACAGAGACAGTTTTAGCATCTGGCAAAAGATCTCTGAGTTTCACCACTAATCCAGTTTAAGGGGGGGGGGGGGGGCCCCCCCCAACCCACGGGG